TACTCCCACCAACAGTATCCCAAGAATATTATGATTAAAAAATAAAAAGTCATCTTAAAGTGATTCATGCTAATGTCACTATTAAGATGACATTGCTTTACATATTCCCTCTCATCCAGAATACATTATAAAGGTCACTCCACCTCCAAATTCATAACCTCAATCTAATCAAAAGAAAATACTTGTTGGAGAGATAGTACAGCAGATATGGTGCTTGCCTTTCATGCAGTTAATCCGGGTTCAGTTCTTGGCACCCCAGAAGTGGTCCCTGAGCTCAGATCCAGGAATGAGCCCTAAGAACACCCCTCAAATAAAATATTAGACAAGCTTAAATTAATTAATGTTCTACCAAATACTCAATTTTATTTATATGAAGCGCCAAATCACAAAAGGCAAAGATGAACTGGAACAAATTAGAGATGTTAAATAAATGCTGTGTACCATTCTGGATTGTATCTTAGAACACATAAAGAACATCATTTGGAAAATTTGGGAAATATTACTCAAGCATATAATCTTTTATTATATGCTAATATGTAATAAGTTAAATATTAAAGTAAAAACTATACCATTTACATTAGCATCTCCATAATGAAACACTTAGGTAAAAATAAAAGATTATAAGAACTATATGATAAAATGATAATATATTAATAAAATCAGAGAACTAAATAATTGGAGAAATGCTCATGTTCATGGATATTATTGTCAAGATACCAGTTTTTCATTAATTGGTCTATAAACTTAATGCAATTACAATAACAATCCCATGAAATTGTTTTATGAATATTAAGAAACTAATTGTAAAGCTTATATGAAGAGGCAAAGGCCCAGAATAGCCAATATAATACCAATGAAGAGGAATCAAGCTGGAAAACAGACACTTTTACAAACACAACCTCAAGACTTATAGTATAATAACCTAAGTAATCAAGAAAAAAGCTAAGTAATCAAGATAGTATGGCATTATGAAAAACACAACACACAGAGACACACACAGAGGAATGCATCAATTAATTAGAGAAACCAGAAATTTACTTCCATAAATATAAGTCAATTGATCTCCCACAAAGGAGCAAAGGCAACACACTGTAGCACTGTAGCACTGTCCTCCCGTCATTCATCAATTTGATTGAGTGGGCACCAGTAACAGCTCCATGTGAGACTTGTTACTGTTTTTGGCATATCGAATAGCAACAGGTAGCTTTCCAGGCTTTGGCGGGTGGGCGGGATACTCTCGGTAGTTTGTAGGGCTCTCCAAGAGGGGTGGAGGAATCGAACCCAGTCGGCTGCATGCAAGGCAAACGCCCTGTCCCCTATGCTATCGCTCTGGCCACACCACACACAAAAAATGGTACTAGAAGAACTGGACATAGTATTTCCAAAATGAAATACTTAGGTACAAACAAAACAAAAGATGTATAAGAACTACATGAGAAAATGACAAATACTAATAAAATCAGAGAGCTAACTAATTGGAGAGGTGCTCATATTCATGAATATGATTGTCAGGATGCCTTCTGTCTGAGAAGATAATAGAACCAAGAGAATTAAAGGACCATACACTTTTCACAAAAATTCATGAAAAATGTATTAGATACAAACATTAAAGCCCAAACCATAGAATTCTTGAAGATAATTTAGGGGAAAATCTATCTAGATATTTTAAGTCTGATGATGCCTTTTTAGATATACCAAGACATGAAACAGGAAACAAATACTGATAAAGTGAATTCTAATTAAATTAAAAGCATCTGCCTGAGAAGACATTAGAATCAAGAGAATTAATTAAAGGACAAGCCATGGTGGGGAAAATGGCTCAAACAGCTGCTGTGCATGTTTTGCATTTAGAGGCCAGCCTTGAACTGCATGGTTTCCTGAGCACCACTGGGGTGACCCCAAGTACTGAGCTCGGGCTCTATTGGGTATAGAGGCAAGATAAAAATAAGACAAGCTACAGACCTTGAAGAAATACTTGCAAAAGACATATCTGATAAAGGATTGCCACTCAAATAAGGTGTATAAACTTTGAAAGAGCGGCATATTAATGACAACTTACTTGATTCACTCACTGTACCATGGTTAAGTAATATGAAAACAGAACTACCTCGAAAATACTCTGTACTTTCAACATAACATCAAAATCACAGGTTAAAATATATTAGTTATAATATAAAAGTATAAGGAATAGAAATTACTACTCTATCATCAAACAAAACAAAAGCATGGTAATGTTGGTCCTCTACTAGGAAATCCCAAAGATTGAGTGATATTTTTCTAATATTGTTTCTTAAATTGCAATTATATCTCAAAAATATATGTACATTTTACATAAATCTTCACATAGAACATAAGTACATTTTAATATATATTATAAACATTTATTTTATTTAATATAAATTTAAAATGTCAATATTAGTTTCCACAAATGGGAAAAATACTTCTCAAATTTATAAAATATAAAGTGATTCAAAGAACTATGGATTTGATCTCACACATAGATAAGAAATTACAAACAGAATAGTGTATAATGTAATAATTTTATATGCATATACATTGTAGAATAAGTACTAAGATCAAGACATTAGCATATTTAGCACCTCTTTTAGGTAACTTAACTCTTGTATACCTGTTGAAAATACTTAACCCTACTCAGCAACTTTCCAATATACAGTATCATACTACTAGCAACGGTTGTCATGCTGTACATTAAAATTTCAATGTGCACAGCTTCATATTTGTACCCTTTAACTGATATCACCCCAGATCTTGCCCCCCAACTCCTGGAAACCACCATTCTATTATTTTGCAATTATGTTACTCTCAATTACATATCTGTATCAGCATTTAAATATTTTCCTTTTTTTTTTCTGGCAAGAGCTACTGGGGTTAAGAGCTTACTCCTGGCTCTGTGCTCAAGAATCAATCCCAGTGGTGCTCAGGGGACCATATGGGATGCTGAAGATTGAACCCAGGTCAGCTGAATGCAAATCAAGCACCTTGATATGTATATAAATATATATATGTATATATATTATAATATGAGACCAATATCCAAGGACAGTAGAAACAAGGCCAGGAGAATTGGTCCACTGTTAGAAACTTTCCTCAAGTGCTGGGGAAGAAGGCAGTTGGTATAGAGAGGGGACAACCATGACAAAGATAGTTGGAAATTATCACTCTAGATAATAACTGCGTGCAAACAAACATAATAATATCTCAGAACCTCTATTGCAAACCATAATGCCCCAAGGGGTTTGGGGGAGAGGGATGGAGGGAGGGAGGGAGGGATGGAGGGAGGAAGGGAGGGAGGAAGGGAGGAAGAATAGTTCTTGCCATAGAGACAGACTGGGGAGAGGGTGGTGGAAGGGTAACTGGGGACATTGGTGGTAGGAAATGTGCACCGGTGGAGAGATGGGTGTTGGAACATTGTATGACTGAAATCTGACCATGAACAGTTTTGTAACTCTGTATCTCTCTATGATTCAATTAAAAAAAAAGCAAGCACCCTACCAGCTGTATTATCTCTCCAGTACCAGCACTTAACTTTTTAAAGATTCTACATACTATATTTATCGTTCTCTGTCTGGATTATAAAATTACCACATTACATACTTTAAATAGACACAAGTGCTCTTAACCACAGAAAAAATATAATCACACAAAAATAGTTTTAATTAGAGTTTAAAATAAAGCAAAATAAGTGATGTGAAGATGCTTTAAAAATAAAAGTATAATATCCAAAATGTGCTACAAAATTACACCTAAAACAAAAACTTTAAACAGGCCAGAAGAAATAATTTTTATATGTTGAGGAGAAAAATTTCTTTGACTCTAAAAGACTGCATATCTGAAAAAAAGACATTGGTGGGGGAAAGTTGACACAGGGGGTGGGGTTGGTGGTATTGGAACACTGTATGGCTCAAGCTCTATTATGAATAATTTTGTAAATCACAGTATCTTAATAAAAACAAAAGGGCAATATTGCTTGCGGATGGCAAACAATTTTTTCCTTGATAGTTATACATTCATGAACATGAAGGGAAGGAGGTAAGGAAGGAAGAGAGGGAGGGAGGGAGAAAGGAAGGAAGGAAGGAAGGAAGGAAGGAAGGAAGGAGGGAAGGAGGGAGGGAGGGAAGGAAGGAAGGAAGGAAGGAAGGAAGGAAGGAGGGAAGGAGGGAGGGAGGGAAGGAAGGAAGGAAGGAAGGAAGGAAGGAAGGAAGGAGGGAAGGAGGGAGGGAGGGAAGGAAGGAAGGAAGGAAGGAAGGAAGGAAGGAAGGAAGGAAGGAAGGAAGGAAGGAAGAAGCGACTAAATTTTTCAAGTGCTTTAGGACAAGGAAGAGCAAAAGAAAAAAGGATAGAAATAAAGATAGTTGTACCAGTGTTTTGCTAAAATATTTTATCACAACTCTACTGAGTTAAAACAGGTAAATGTAGAGGAAAACTATGGCCAAGCTTAAACAAAGACATGAATATTCATGAAAACATAATCTTTAGAGATGAAAGGATGCTTCCAGAGGATATGCAGGATTCACATGGTCTTCAGGGGAAATGTTTATCGTGATAAAAGAGTTCCCCTACTCAGTATACTTCCCAGAGCTCCTTTAATATCTCTATTCCTCAGGCTATAGATAAAGGGATTTAGCATGGGAGTTACTAGAGCATACAATACAGAGACAATAATATTCTCATCATTAGAGCTAGTAGATGAGGGGAAAAAGTACAGTGCAATAATTGATCCATAGTAGAGAGAAACCACAGTGAGGTGAGAGCCACATGTGGACAAGGCTTTAAAGATCCCCTTGGTGGAGGGGACCCTCAGGATGGTGGCCCCAATGCGGCCATAAGACACCAGGATGCATATGAACGGCAAGGTGATGCTTGCCACTCCCTCTGTGAAGATAACCAAATCATTGACTGTGGTATCAGAGCTGGACATCTTAAGTAGGGCAGAAAGGTCACAGAAGAAGTGAGGGACAATTTTGTCTCCACAGAAAGACAGACGGGCCAAGAGAAGGGTGTGCAAAAGGGCACTGGCATAGGATAGGACCCAGGACACAATTACTAGCATGGAACACAGACTCTGACTCATAATGGTGATATAGTGGAGGGGGTGACAGATGGCCACATATCTGTCATAGGCCATCGAGGTGAGAAGGAGGCTATCCAAAGACCCAAAAATTAAGAAAAAATAAACCTGTGAAACACAGCCATCATATGAGATAAATTGACTTCGTGTCTGCATATTAAAGAGCATCTTGGGAGCGGTCACTGATGTGAAGGAGATGTCAGAGAAGGCCAAGTGGCTGAGGAAGAAGTACATGGGTGTGTGGAGGCGGGAGTCCAGTCTGATGAGCAGGATGATGAGCAGGTTCCCCAGCACGGTGGTCAGGTACATGACCAGGAAAAGAGTATAGTATATACCCTGTTTCTCTGGCCTGATGGGGAGACCCAGGAGGAGGAACTCAGATGCACAGCTCTGATTATCCCTTCTCATTTTCCTCTCTTGTGCTGGAGATGAAAAAAAGATAGAAATGTAAATGAGTGAGAAATTGTTATTTCCAACATAGAACATGATTTTGAGCTAATTGGTAGCTCAAATGGCTCATGTTTTTGCCCCACTTGTAGACTACTGACAGCATGGTATCGCCTAGGAACTTATATGATCTCCTTTGGAGAAACAACAGTTGTTTAGATTAATACTCTCAAAACAACAGGTGTTTAGATTAGATCCTGGGAAGTATGAAGACGTTCAATGGAAATACGAAATTAGAAAACTAACATCCAAGTCTAGATCAGTTAGAAATTGTTAGAATTACTAATAGAGGCCCTCAATTTGGTCCTTTGAACTTATGTTTTTCATTTTTGGGGGTAGTGGGAGGTTGGCCACACCAAGAAGCTCTCGGCAGGGCTTACTCTTAGTTATCAGAGGACCAATATTGGTCCTCCAATATATGGTGTTGGAGACCAACCTGTGTTGACTGTATGCAATGCAATACCTTTAACTCCTATCTCTCTAGGACCTGTTAGACTTTGTTAAATGTTCCCCTTCCTCTTGCACAAACTTTTGCTAGTGCTGTATTTTTGTGGATTCAATCAAGATAAGAAGTTTGATGTATTGTTTTTAGTCTTTTCATAACCAATGTTGGAAACAAACTTTTTTATAGTTATTAGTATGATATCAAGATACATTCAGCAATATTCATCAGGGTACTTTTAAAAAGACAAGGTTTATGACTTATAAGAAATGGATATGATAGGTATTCCTTGGACCTCATGTGAGATACTCTATGCATTCATTTGTTCTCTTTATTAAAAAAGAGCTAGAGGGTTGCTTCATTCTGAGGTACCTATAATGGGTAGAAGTTGGAGGTCGAGAGTTTACTGAACTAAATCTTCATTGGTGAATTTAAAATACTTGAGTCACAATTAAAAGCACCAGCAAAGAAAAAAGTGACCCAAACACCCAAAATAATCATCTACATTAAGATTTTAAAGCACAGATTAATTAGGAAATATGGTCTAACTCTATATAGTGACATGCGACTTAAGATATATTTATTCACGATAAATATCTTTGAAGTGGGTGCAATTAATCAACACTTAGGTAAAGCACTTTCATATCAAGCTTTTTTAAATGACAGAACCTACACTACATCTTTCCTGAGTTTCCCATATATTATTATTTATTTTGATACTTTGTGGAAAGGGCTGGAGAGATAGCACAGTGGGTGGGGTGTTTGCCTTGCAAGTGGCCAACATGGCTGACCCGAGTTCAATTCCTCCACCCCTCCCGGAGAGCCCGGAAAGCTGCCGAAAATATCTCGCCAGCACTGCAAAGCCTGGCAAGTTATCCGTGACGTATTCTATATGCCAAACACAATAACCATTGTCACAATGGAGACGTTACTGAGCCCACTCGAGCAAATCAATGAACAACGGGAGGACAGTGACAGTGACAGTGACTTTGTGGAAATATTGTGTGTATGTGGTCAAGGTAAGTACATGAAAGAAAATATCTATATAATTAACATGGAGAGGTCTAGTGGCATACTTTGATATACTCTCTTTAAGGAAATCTTTGTTACTTTTCAATATTTTCAGTTTATCATCACTCTATTCAGTGGGGTATTCATGGAATGTATAGATAGTCTTTCTCTTTTAATTTCTTATCATATTCCCGATATTACAGGCACATAATTTTTTTAATTCTTAGAACACCAGGAGATATTTTGAATTCTCGATTCCTACTAGGAAATAGGAAGTTCTTTTAAACTGACTGTCTATAAAATAACACCTATTTTTCATTCTTCTTAACCTATGTTTTATGCCTATAAAATGCAACTGACAATTTTCTTCATATAATAACACATTTTGCTAATAACATAATTTATTTCATTCTTTGGATTAGTTCATCTTAGATCTGACATGTGAACAGTCACAAAATAACTGGGAAAAAACATTATGGTATTCATACCAAAAATAGGATTTACATAATGATAGGTACATTCAATCTATGAGTCTTTCTCTTTGAGGTCAAGAATAATGAGACTATAGCATCATTATCCATATTCAGGGTTAACAAGAGATCACATTAAATTCTAATTCTCCCTGTTTGACTAAAGTTATAGCCACAATTCCTAAATTTCTCAGTTTCCTACATGAAGATTCTTATTAATGATTTTTCTCATATTAAAGTGCTAACAAATGATACTCCTGTTTTGACATTGCTATTCAAGTGATGCACGCATGTACCTTCAGCTAAAATGCATAGTAGGTTCCTTCATTTCTCTCTGGAAGACACAAAATATAGTGAAGCAGCTGGGTTCCCTAGGTGTCTCAAAGATGCATTGAAAAGGAAAATAATCATCAGTTCAAAACCAGCACTATTGATATATAGAGACACACTTGTTTATAGCTCCTGAACACTGAGCCTGGGATCTAGCTTAATGAATCATATATAAAGTGGGAGGAGGGTAAGATGTTGGGCATCTTTCCATCAAGGCTTCAAATTAGATTCAAAGAGGAAATATAATTGCTTCATTGTCTTTGGCTCCCTTGAGGATAGAACTTTTGTTTATAGCAGCAATGGAAGAGTTCTTCTCCCCAAGAGGAATAAAAACAATAACCATATAGCGGCCTCTAGAAATGTAGTGTGGTTCTAACGTTTTCTGTCTCATCCCTAACTTTGGGGATAAAGTGAGTCAGAATCAATAACAACCCAAAATAGAGAAATTGATTGTTTATATGTGTTGCTTTTTCTGAACCCCATCCTTTCCCAAGAATGTCAGAATATCTAATCCTTTCCATCTCTGAACAAAAGACTGAAGAAATTTATATGGTGTCAACACAATTAGGACTAAGGGCATAGAATACAGTTAGGTCTCAGATATATTCTCTCCTGCCCCAATGCCTTGGAGTTAATATTTTATTGATACAATGCTATTATCATTAAATAATCTCAGGATATACTTTCCATTAAAACACCTTATAAAAATGATGCCCAAAATGCATATATTACCAACTCATATATATATATATATACATATATCAATATCTCTAAGTCAGGCATCAAATGAATATCATATTATTTGAATTTTTATATGAGAAATGAAACTGTGTGAATATTTATAAATTATTCATTTTTGTATTTTATAATATTTTTAAAGGCTAATTAAAAATTATATTTGTAGCTTTTATTTTTATTGACCACACTCAATGGTTCTGGGGTCCAGGGGAAGGCCAGGAGCCAATCTCAGTGATTCTCCTTAGCAATTCCTGGCAGTGCACGTTTGACTAAGATATGCTTGGGGTTATGCAGTGCCAGGAATCAAACTCAGGCCTTCAAACATGCTCTAATATTTGGGCTGTATCCCTGACCCTGGCTATAAATTAAATCTTATAGCTAGGTAGAAAGATCTCCTTATAGATCTTATAACTATCTTATAGATCTTATTACACAATGGAAGATTACTCACCTATGAGGAAAGATAAAATCTTGCAGTTCACTGAAACCTGAATGGAATCGAAGGATATAATGTTAAGTGAAGTGAGTCAAAAGATAAAGACAAATATTAGGTAATTTCTCTAATATGTAAAATATTTTTCAAAAAGTAAGTAACCAGATTTACACGATCTGAAGAGAAACCTGAATATAGCACACGGTAGGGTGTTTGCCTTGTACCCATGGTCGGCCTGGCCAACCGGTGTTCGATTCCTCTGCCCCTCTCGGAGAGCCTGGCAAGCTACCAAGAGGATCTCGCCCTCATGGCAAAGCCTGGCAAGCTACCCGTGATGTATTTGATATGCCAAACACAGTAACAACAAGTCTCACAATGCAGATGTTACTGGGCCCGCTCAAGCAAATAGATGAACAACGAGAGGACAGTGCATTTCATTTCAAGTAACCAGATAGTTCCCACTGAAAAAAAAGCCTTGACATATTGCCAATACACACAATGGTGAACTGAGGGAGCAAAGAGAGGAAAAAGTATCTGAGGATATGGCGGAGGGATGTTGATATTTTGGTGTAAGAGGCATGAAGTAGCACTGCAAATTTGGAATACAGAAGAAACTTGTAAAATATCATGACCTCAAAACTTTTCAATGTAGTATTGTAGCACTGTCCGCCTGTTGTTCATCGATTTGCTCAAACGGTCACCAGTAACGTCTCCATTATGAGGCTTGTTGTTACTGTTTTTGTCATATCGAATACACTATGGGGAAGATTGCCAGGCTCTGCCATGAGGGCAGGATACTCTCGGTAGCTGCCAGGCTCTCTGAGAGAGATGGAGGAATTGAACCTGGGTCGGCCGCATGCAAGGCAAATGCCTGACCTGCTGTGCTATTGCTGGGACATTTAAAAAATTTAAAAAATTAGTATATGGAAAGAGATATAAGGAATAGGTGAAATGGACATATCAGGTACAGTGCTTGGTAATGTAGGGAAACGATTTTGGGTAGTGGTCATGATGTAGTTTATTAAGATGTAAAGGTAAAGGCCCTCCCGTTGATCATCGATTTGCTCGAGTGGGCCCAGTAACGTCTCCATTGGAGACTTTGTTGTTACTGTGTCTGGCATATCAAATACTCTCAGTAGCTTGCCGGGCTCTCCGAGAGGGACAGAGGAATCGAACTCGGGTCGGCCATGTTGGCCGCTTGTAAGGTGAACGCCCTACCCGCTGTGCTATCGTATAATATCAAATTTTACAACATTACCACTTGAAAATAAAAGCTAAGTCTCTCCTAGAACTCATCTCAAGAACACTTCTCACTCTGCAATCCATCGTATGAGCCCTCTGAGAGCATTGTTTGTATTTGTCCCAATACCAGGCTGATATTGGAGGCCCCCAAATATGACCCAGATCCATCTCCATACTCTTATGCTCCCTGTACATGCACACTACCAATTAGTTTTGTCTCTCTGAAGGTACCTCATTGGATGCTGGTTCTCTAGCTTGGTCTTAGAAGAAGCTGTACATTACCCTCAAGATCTTAGCACACAGGATGAGTTGCACCTAGACCACAAGCAGCTTTTGGCTATGAACTTAGGGACTGATAGAAATCCTCGTAGTGCTTGTCGAGTTAGTGCTGATTATGTAGGTGTAAGCTGTGTGGTAGACGTGTGGACCATCGAGTCAAAACCACATCACTCTCCTAAAGCACCACCAAGTTGGCCAGGCTCCTGTGACAAATCCTGCCCATATAGTGGCCAGCCCTTGACCTCCACTCCCACATGGCTGTTCTGAACGTGGCAGGATCAGCATGTGAAGAGATAATAAAAAGCCACCCAAATGGTCTACAGTCAGTGGTCTGATCAACCCTCCCTTCATAAAGGCTCACAGACTTCTCTATCAGTCTTCTGAGGTCCCATTGGAACATAAACTCTATGAGAACAGAGAGAGAGAGAGAGAATGCACTGCTTCATTTAGGGCACTGCACAAACACACACCAGGTAGTTCATGAGTAGATGAGAGATGAAGGTACAGTCTGTCCTGTTGGGGAACAGTTTTTCCCCAATGTGCCCAGACACATTGTGCACCCGGGTCCATGCAGACATGGGGTGAAGGATGAAGGGCGTGCCAAGAAACAACTCCGAGACTGATGGCCGCTCACTTTGTTGCCAAATACACACATATTTTATAGAGGGTCTCGGCTAAAGAAGATGTCCGATCACATACGGTTTAGCATTACTGACCTATCCCCTTTCCAACTCTGCTTTGCCCATGTCCAATTCCAAATAGGGCTAGATGCTGCAGTTTGGAATGACTCACTAAGCTTAGGTGATAATTCTTGGGGGAGTTGGGTGAGATTCAAGGTCGGATAACTGGTGCTTGTTAAATGTGCCCAGATACTCCCTACTTGGTCGCTATGCAGAGATATGTTTTTATCTGTTCTGGCGTCTGTTGCCATGCTCCACACTGCCCTTCTGCCCATAGTTTACAAAGAATTAGTTAAACCTTGGTCCTAAATAGACATTACTACCTGACATTGTCCTAAAAGAATAGTATTATTGATACTGGTGAATTGCTATAGGTAATTTTTCAGGGAATAACAATGAGAAAAACATTATTGGCCTTTGCCTTCAACATAGCTAAGGAATCTAAAACTTCTTACAAGGGTGAAATGTCAATATAAAACAAAAAGATATTGCCATCTGAAAATACAAATGATTTAATGGCCTCATGGCTCCCTACCTATTTACCCAAGATCCATTTTCTATTTTGTAAAAGAAATTTTTCCTATGTACACATTAAAGATATGACATATTTTAATACTCCATAAGAATGTTACTTTGAAATGACTAAAATATTGAATAGAGACAAAATTGCACCATTACAAGTATTTATTTAAGTCATAAAAATTTATTTGAATTTTTGCCTTTTGAGTATAAGAACATTTCCAGCAATACTGAGATATTAGCAACCTCTCCTGGATATTATATTACTGAATATGTGGGCTTAACAACTCAGCCCTTGGACAAATGCAGAAGAGATTGGACAGAACATAAACTCATGCTTGTAAGGAAATAAATTTGAATCATTGAATTATTATAGTGGTGATGTCAGAATTTAAAAAACAGGAAGTGGAATTTCCATTTTTGTGAGTGTCTTTAGATGTCTCCTTCATTTGACCCTAAAAAATCTGATGACAGAAATCCTGCTTTTTTTATGTTAATTGATGGATATGGAGGAGTATATTTCCTCATTCATGCCAATCTGCATCTTTACCAATTCTACACATGCTTTAAAAAAGGACAGCATTATTCACTCTAACCATCGGTAAAGAACTGTCAGAGTCAGTGAGAGTCAGTCTGGGCAATGAAAGCAAGTGTATGTCATCAGAGTGTGAGAAGACAATTCCAAACTCTCTGGAATACCAAGCTCTCTGTGTACACAGTTTCAGCAGAACAATCAAAATATGAAATATTCCCAAAACTGAAGTAATTGGTTCCATATCCATTTGAATTTATATTTTATTGCTATTTTTTCTTTTTGGGTCACACCTGGCAATGCACAGAGGTTACTCCTGGCTCTGCACTCATGAGTTACTCCTGGTGGTGCTCAGGGAACCATATGAGATGCTGGGAATCGAACCCGGGTCGGCCGCGTGCAAGGCAAACGCCCTACCTGCTGTGCTATCTCTCCAGCCCTGAATTTATATTTTATACAAGATTCATATTAAGTTATCTGACTTGCAGAACTTCATCCTATTGACTAACAATTTCAGAGCATGTTTCATATCTCTGTTTCTCAAACTGTAGATGAAAGGGTTCAGCATGGGGGTGACTATCATATACATCACAGAAGCAGCTATTTCTTTATTACTGGAGACAGATGAAGAGGAGAAAAAGTACACTTCTGCAATTGTTCCATAGTATAAAGCTACCACTAGGAGATGGGAACCACAGGTAGAAAGGACTTTGAAGAATTTCTTACGGGAGGGATTCCTCAGAACAGTGGCCCATATACGAATATAAGAGGCCATGATACTGAAGAAAGGCAGGGAAACAATCAATCCTCCCTCAACGAAGATGACAAGTTCATTGAGTGAGATGTCAGAACAGCTCATCTTCAGGAGTGCTGTGAGATCACAGAAGAAGTGGGGAATGGCAATGTTACCACAGAAGGACACTTGGGCCAAGAGAAGGGTGTGCAACAGAGAATGGAAGCAACATAATAGCCAGGATACAGTTACTAATGAGATACATCGCTCCTGCCTCATGATGGTGGTGTAGTGGAGTGGCTGACAGATGGCCACATACCTGTCATAAGCCATCACTGCAAGTAGGAAATTGTCCAGACAACCAAACCATATGAAAAAATACATCTGTGAAACACATCCTGCGTAGGGGATAAACTTGTGATTACTCTGCATGTCCACCAACATTTTGGGCACAGTGACCGATGAGAAAGACACATCAGTGAAAGCCAAGGCACTGAGGAAGAAGTACATGGGCGTGTGAAGGCGAGTGTCCATCCGAATGAGCAGGATGATGAGAAGGTTCCCTACCACCGTGGCCAGGTACATGACCAGGAAGAGAGTGAAGAATAAGCCCTGTTGTTCTGGGGGTATGGGGAGCCCCTGAAGGAGGAATTCAGACACAGTGGTCACGTTCTCTCTTTTCATGCTGCTCCTGTCTCTTCTGAAAATGAAAGAAATAATGAGATGTCTGGAACATGGGTAGGCTTAACAGTATAGAAATGCCATCTTATATGAAATTTGAACTTTATCCAAGGCTTCTGTTCATTTCTAACAGGTGTGCAGGTGTGGATGCATAAACTGTACAGTTTATGCCCCAGTAATAGATAACACCCTCAATGACAAATAAAATTCCCCACACTGATGCCATAAAGCATTTGTCTGTAACCCAGAACCATTTATTAGAGCAGTTTGTTTGAGGTACTAAACAAAACACTGAGTACTAACAAGTAATAAAGAGATCAAAAGTCTTTATGTTATGTTAAGAAGTTTATACATTTATGTCATGCCAGTTCAGTAATTTACAATGGTAACAAAGACACGGGCATCAAGGACAGTGGACACAAGGTCCAGTAATATTGCTCCATAGTTGGAAGCCTACCTCATGAGCTGGGGGAGAAGTCAGCTGGAATAGAGAAGAGATCACTAAGTCAATGATGGTTGGAGGGATCATTTAGGATGGAAGATGTGTGCTGAAAGTAGATAAAGGACCAAACATGATAACCTCTCAGTATCTATATTGCAAACCATAATGCCCAAAAGTAGAGAGAGAGTATGGGGGAAATTGTCTGCCATAGAGTCAGGGGAGGGTTGGGAAGGCGGTGGGCGGGGGGATACTAGGGACATTGGTAGTGGAAGATGTACGCTGGTGGAGGGATGGGTGTTCAATCATTGTATGACTGAAACTCAAACATGAAAGTTTTGTAACTGTATCTTTTGGTGATCATAAAAAAAAGACATGGGCATTAGGAGACAGCTATCAGTCAGTCCCTTTAAAATGATGTGAAGCTCTTTATACTGAAATAGAATAACATCAGTGAAACTGACTGGATCATAACCATCAGAGATATTTAGTACTTTCTGTCACAAAAATATTCATCACAGTTAATAAAAGTGATGGATATTGAGCATTAAGATATAATATGTCAGGTACTATTGCAAGAGATTTGCATCATCTTTGTATTAAGAGTACAAAGAAAACAACATTTTAACTTTATTATGAGGAATAGTAGAAAAATGTGCAAAGGTATATCACTCTTAGGTTAAATAAGTGAATTGATAATATGGATGTGTTGAATCGATTCCATAACCATTTGTACAGCTCTCATATTCCTTAGTTTTGATAACCAGACATGCTCAGGTGATAGCACTCCACATCTAAAAATGTGATCAAGCTTGTACATCACACAATTCATACATTTTACTCTCAAATTTAGATTTGAAAATAACGTGCCATACCATATGTCATGTCTGCATGACATATGGTAATTTATGTACCTTTCATTTTATAGATGTGATAAAACTAAGGCACAAAACATAAATGACAAAACTAAAGTTATGCAGTTCTCTGATGTAAACTCGAGAGTCACATTCTCCCTACTTGGAAGTCAGGTTAGGGATTAGGAACGTCAAATGGATACTGCTAAGGAGAAATCATACTGGGTTTCTTATTCAAATATAAAAATCAAATCTTCCTCAAGGACCATGACCTTGCCCAGGGGAATTTGTCCTCTTCCTTCATGTTTAATAAGAAGAATAATAGTGACTTATGTGTGAAGGTCTGGTTGTTTACTGACATGTACTACATATGTCCTAACATCCTCACTGTGAAACCAGAAGAAGATAAACAAACCATAACTAAACTGGGACCTTGACTGAGGCCAGACTTTGTGTAGAAAAAAGCTAAGCATGAGTTAGGGAAGGATAATTAGGCTTTCCAAAAGTATGACAAGGGCTGTGCGGACATTTCTACTGAGCCTTCTGCCTGTAGTGTTACAAAAAAAACCCAAGAAAATAGAAACCTCCATGATGAAAGCACTTGATTTGGGGAAATATAATTAAAGTATTCCTCTTTACTAGAACCCATTATATGCCAGGCATGGCATTGAATAATTTGTGCATATTTCCCAATTTAAGTTTCAATATAGCATTATAATCAAGACTCAGTTCCCCTTTCTTTGCCAGCTGGTAAACTGGATCTCAGAATCAAGTGCCAAACTAAGGTTAGGTCTGACTCTGATCTACTTAGATAATTGGCATCATAGGCTTCCTTGATGCCAATATGAATGCGAAGACTTCCTATTGGTGAAGATAGACACCAATTTGCCTGCTCAATGCAGAACTATATACACCATGGAAAGTCTGCTAAAGTGGTCATGTGTGCAGGTCCAATTAATTCATGGATACCACCACAGAAATAATAGGCATAAAGGATGTCATTGAACACTTATAAATACATAAACTTGTAATGAGATACAAAGATACTAATAAAATGTAAGATCAAACATTTCCACATAACATATATTTCAAGGCATCTCTCTTGTCATGGTCATCTGTAAATTCAGGAAACTTATACTTCCTGTTGGAGAACACAGCTCTGTCTCTTTAGAATCTGAAATCTTATTACTTATGATCTTGGTGTACAAGATAAAAAAATATGGTAGTTATAGAACAAGAGTAAGCAGATGTTGATTACAAGACCCCCAAACGCATTATGAGCAACTTTGCTTATGGGAGATTATTTAGTGCTGTGTCCTCTGGTAAATGAGAGGAAAAGAAACAATTTAAGAGTCATTTATCTCTGTCTATATCTGTGTTCTCTCTCTACCTTTTCTTTTTTTCCATATGTTTCTCTGTATTTTTTCTCTATCTATAGAAAATACATTACCAAGACAGAACTTTTGGAAAAATGTATGTGTGCCTACACTACACTAGCTGGAATCAGCACAGATACATGGAATGTATGTAAAATTTTCTAAAAAAAAATAGAGACACACCTTATTCTTCTAGATTCCCAAGTTCACGCTGATCTCTCCACTCCTTGGTAGGTCAAGCTCCTTCTAATCCAGTTTCAGAGTTCTCAATTTCTGTTATAGACATCAGGAATAAAAGAATTTGGAACGGCTTCCATAACCCCATAATCTTATGAGCTTCCTGGTCTGTCTTTGAACTCCACGGCAGTAAGGACGATGTCATTTTATAAACCTCAAAGAGGACAAAGGTAAAGTCCCTAAGCTCTTGGTTAAGGAGAGATGGTAAGGCAATTATCTCTAGTCCAATCAGACCTTGGGGAAAAGCCTGTGCAGAAGCTGGAGGGACTGAATGGGTGTAATAGCAGCCACTTGAGAGAGTGTCCTTGGTGTCAGGGGCACCCTGAGATGATGTGTACCTATTCACCATTACAGGTGGGAATAAAAGTGGATCGAATAATGCTCCTGTCTGACCACTGCATTGACAACCAGTGTTGTCTAGACTGGGCTGGAAGCAGGACTCTGCCTATCATTCATTGTTGACCCTAAGTAACTAAAGGAACTTTTATTAGCCTTGTTTCAACTGTTGTGAAATAAAAAACTATGCCATTCTGAAGATTTAATACAGATTTAATATCACTCATGCACACAAATGCAAAACTAATATCCATTGCTTCTGTCATTAATTTTCCATATCCCAGCAAAATATAAGTGCATCTATAGTCATGATTTTGCTATAGAATTGATAATGGTTGACGTACTTGGCCAATTGATTGCCAATTCTTCAGTTAAAAATTCTCCCTCAGATTTCCCAGAGTAGGGCTTAAGGCCCACAAAATCATGTGTTCTGGCCCAGTATATGACTAATAGACATATACGCTTCTTATGGGGTACCTGTGGCCTGTATGCATATATTGACTGTATGACTTCCAAGTGATTTTATGCTTCTCCAACTGGGCATTTGGAGAAAAAAAGGGTTTCCCATCCCTGAAACTGTCCAGATAAAACAACACAGCATTCTGATACAAATATTTGATAAGTAAGCTAGTACAATAATGTCCTATATTTAACAGATATTAGCAGACACTTCACAGTCAAGAGGGGCCTAGATTGCATTCAGATTTTAGAGTGGGAGTTATTTGTTCATTATTATTCTCAAGTTTTCTTTCAACATATTTCATTCACTTCAACCTCAACCATCAGTTATTGTTACATATATAACCTACTCTACATATTGAGACAAGCTTCTTTGTTATGTCTTCCCAAGACATTGCACCTTAGGATAGAAGTGATATAGTTCATCCCCTATTCAGAGCCTAGCACAAGCCTAAGCAATGTTTATAATTTGCATTTCCCTCTATCAGTCTTGAATGGTTTTATCTCATCATTTGTTTATGATAACTTTGCAATTATATTACTTGGTTTTGGGCTGTTTAGGCATTCAATTTTCTTCATGGTCTTATATTGTTGGTTATTCTACATTTGAAAAGTTCTCAGATATTATTTACTCTTTTTTTAAAAAGCTATCTGTTCCTCCATACTTTTTAAAATTCATATGCAATATCCATTTGCATCCCTCCTCACCCAAAGTTTCTGTAGCACTGTGATTTAGAATATTACTAGTAATATTTACAATATTACTTGTAATAGTAATAAAGCTCCAGGCATACAATGTTTCAACATCATACCCACCACCAAAGTGTCAGGATTCCCTCCCATAGACACCCACCCCAATTCTTGGTAAGATCAATTCTTATAGATCTCTTCTCAAGGTCTATTACTACCCATTATTTGTTATTTATTTTTTGTGTCTCTTTACATATAAAAAAGATAACTCTCAAATTTTCTTCTTCTGATTGACTTCACTTGGCATGATGGTTTTAGTTTCGTTTACATAGTGGAGGGTGCAGATACATCTAAACCCTGTTTTGTATTTTATCACACAACTTAGCTTAGTGAATTGTTTAAAAAAAAATTCCAAGTGGTGCTACACAAACACACACACACACCTAAGTCAAGACCTGAAATCAATTAATTTCCATAGACTGATGAGTATTAAAGAATGTGTGGTATTGACAGACATAGAGTGACCGTGCTGATATATGGGATATAAAGAAAACCAACCATTATATAAAACTAATATAATACCCAAGGACAGTAGAAACAAGGTCCAGAAGTAGTGGTCCACAG